TATCTTATATTATATTATATATATGATGGGGAACTGGCATAAATCATTTCCTCTCCTCTTACATGAGGTGTTCTTTGAGGATCCCCTGACCTTCTGGAGCAGATGGAAGAGGGGGGCAGCAGATACACAGCAGGAAAGGGTGAAGATGGGTTTGCCAGCTCCAGGTTGGGAAGTTCCTTGAGATTGGGAGGCGGAGCTTGGAGAAGGCAGGGTTTGGGGAGGGGAGGGACCTCAGTGGCGTATAATGCTATAAAGTCCAGCCTCCAAAGCTGCCATTTTCTCCATGGGAACCAATCTCTGTACTCTGAAGATCAATTGTAATTCTGGGAGATGTCCAGGCCTCACCTGGGGGTTGGTAAACATAGGCAGAGATCTGTTAGTTGATCTTCTATTTACAATTCATAGGATCCAATCCATAGTGATTGTGTGGAGACTGATATTACAGACTGAGTGAGGTGTGACCGCTTTTCATGGTTATAAACACAATTCATTTTGTGTGTCTCTGCTTGTTAGATTTCAGATGATGACAGAGAGAAGACAGAACCGACACTGAACAGTACTGCAAGTGGCAAATCAAAAAAGAAGAAGAAGAAAAAGAAGAAGCAGGGAGAAGAGGCTAGCTCTCCTGTACAGGTAAGATATATTAAGCACTCTGGAATTGCAGTTTGATTCGGAACTCTCTTTAGCTAAAGCTAGATTTGTCAAGAAGACAGTCTATGGCCACTTCTTTTCATTAATAAATGCCAGTCTGTTGAACCTAGTTTACTTTCTGTCTAAATGTATTATTCCCGTTCTCCAAGAAAAAGGATACAGAAATCCTACAACTGCCGTATGGAGTTAATGTTTTATTACAACATAATTAAGTGAAACTGTTCTCTCTCTCTTTAGCTAAAGCACATAAGCCATTTGCCATGTTCGTTCGCATTATCTTAAACAGGGGTGTCGAATTCATTTGTTATGAGGGCCGGATCTGACATAAATGAGACCTTGTTAGGCCGGGCCATGTGTGTCATAAAATGTAATGCCAGGTAGTGGAGACATAAACTTTATAAAGGACACAAAGATTTTTTTTTACTTAAAATAAAAACATTCTTAAAACATTAGCTCTGTAAGCTGCAAACCTGCTTTTGATTTATTGACATTCACCACAGAAATCTCATGCTCAGAGTTCTGAGTCTAGGACCCAGGTTAATCCATTAAATGGCTGAGTGATTAAGAGAGTCTGGTGAAGCAAGCTATGATGTAGCAGCAGCAGCAGAACTGGAAGCTGGAGATGGCTGGTTCCACTGCAGGCCTGATGGAAGCCCTCTGGGGGCCTGATCCGGCCTCCGGGCCGCATATTTGACGCCCCTGATCTTAGGGGTAGAGTGGTGTGCAGCAATTTCAGATCAAGTTTGGACTGATGGGAAATAACCTGATGAAAGATATGAAGGAGTAAGCAGCATTGGGGAAAGCCATATTGCATTAATTTTCTAAGAACAGTATTGACAGCTGCTTTTAGATAATTTAGATAGGTAATTGTTGATAATTTAAAGAAGTTGTAGCTCCACCATCATTTAAATCTTACAACAGAATTGATTTGCAGGATTAAGAGTACAGCACTGCCTTTTCCCCATATATAGGATGCTGAAGACCTGGATAGAGATGCTGGAGAAGAATGTTCAGAAGATACCTCAAAAGTTCAACAAGAGGAGATTTCTTTCTCTTTAAAGACCATCAGCACTAGTGAAGAAGCTGAGGTATAATTAAGCCTAGATTAATTTGGGGCAAAACTTGATTATTTATAGAAACAGCTGAGGAAAGCAAAAACTGTGTGGTTCAGTTCCCCATTTTTAGACTGTCAACACAGTAGCTCCTCACAGGTCTGCACAATTCAGACCACCATAGCCAAAAATATAGTGCAGCTACTGCTGAAAGATTACTGCAAGAATTTGTTTCTGATATTTGGTGTTTGATTTTTCTTCTGAATACTTTTATTCATAAACCAGATGCTGTTACTACTTCTGCCACATAAGTTATAAAGAATTTTTTTTCTGGCCAGCATTCACTTTCCAGGGCTTTTATTCTATGTTTATTCTATTTACTTCATTTTTACTTGCCTTTCTTCTCAGTGGGGACCCAAAGAGACTTATATACTCCTTCTTTGTTACCCTCACAACAACTCTGTGAGGTAGTTTAGGCTGACAGTGTGTGATTGGCACACTGTCTCAGCCCCGCCTACCTCACAGGGTGTCTGTTGTGGGGAGGGGAAGGGAAAGGAGTTTGTAAACCACTCTGAGACTCCTTTGGGTAGTGAAGGGTGGGGTATAAATCCAATCTCTTCTTCTTCTTTGTCGTCTTCTTGTAAGATGCCCTGGCACCTTGCTTGCAGGGAAGGACAGCCTAAAAGTCTAAACAATAAATAAATAAGTTCACCCAGCAGAGGTTTCCATGGCAAAGTGGGCTTTTGAACCTGGGTCTCCCAGATTCTAATCTCATGAGCTAACCTTATATCACAACTTCAAGTATGGTATGCTTGTTTCTAGGTTGCATTGAGAGAATTGGTTTTTAAAAATGAGACTTCTTGTGAAGTATTTTCTCAGTGCTATATATGTCACTAGAGGGCAGTTATGGAGTCAAATATTATTTTGCTTATTTCAGCATATTGTGTTGGAAGCATACTGATACGCTACCAAAAGTCAGTATTCTGATACTTATTTCTTATTTTAGCCTGAGGAGATGCCCTCATTTGCTGTTTCTACTGAGCCATCTGTAACAGTATCAGAGAATGAATCTGACAAGATACCTTCCCAAGTGCCACAGATGCTCCAAGAGACAGAAGTTCCTATTTCTAATGTTAAGCAAAACAGTGTGCCTCCGCCACAGAGTAAGTAATACCCTGGTATTGAGATCAGCCATCGTTACTGTCAGTTGCATCCTATGTTTTAAAAAAAAAAATCTCATCACCTCATTGGCTCAGAGGTAAAACTTTCCTTGCAGCATTGCAGTGAAATTCACACTCTGTATTACAGCAACTCTTTTTGTAGAAACAGAAATAAGGCGGGCTGAGAAGTACTTAACCGCTTTCCAAAGTTGGGTATTCGCTAACAGATACCTTGTTTGGTTTTCTTGAAAACTGGTTTTCTTGAGGAGATTGCCCAGCACTAGGGGTGTGAAAAAAAAAGTTTTTATAAAACATTAATTTTTTTACCGATTCAGGTCTGTTGGAACTAAAAAATATTGGTATTCCGGAATACCAGTATCGGTATTGTACCGGTATTTGGGTAAATATTCAGGAAACCCAAATTTATTTGGCTCCATCATACCCTATGGGGACTGTCCCCATAGGGTGTAATGGAGAATTTCACTTGCTGAGTTGTGCTGCTGCAGCTCGACTCAGCGAGTGAACTGAAGGCATTTAAAGTTTAAATGCGTTCAGTTTGCTTGCTGTCATGCCACTGCCACGGCACAACTTGGCCAGTGAATTGAACGAATTTAGCTGTGGTGAATAAAAGCCTATAAAAGCTGAATATCGGCGTCTGTTCAGGCATGGCTATTTCAGTAGCCAAATACAGGTTTCTGATCTGTATTTGGATGAATAAATACCCCCCAAATATTGATAAGGTATTTTTCGGGTATTTTTTTGGCTTGGTATATACTGAGCACACACCCCTACCCAGCATCCAGTAGAAGTTGTTCCATTGTGGGCCTTCTAATAAGGAGGTTTTCTCCTGGCTTCCTGAACTGTTCTATTTAAAGATAATATTATGTCTTTTATATGCGTTTGTTTTCTGTGAATAGTTCTTCATGAACTCTCCTATTGTAATAGGGCTTAACTTTTGCCTAGTTAACTTTTTCAGGATTCATGGGCAAAGGAAGCAAACCTTTGATTCATGGAATCTGCTAGTTTTGTATTTATTCTTTAACTACTGTCCAAGCTGAGCATCACATCTGCTACATTTCATGCCTCGTATACTTATTTGTTCTGGTATTCCTGCACCACTGTCTTGCATTTCTAGTTATAACTCACATATGTTAGAGCGGTATAGAAATTGAAAGTTAAATAAATAAATAAATATGTCCACTATGTCAGTATTCCAACCTGTTGTAATCTTCATTATACATGCCAGTTTCGTCTCTCCCACCATTACAAACATCACATAGCAACTGAGGTGGATTCTACCTGTAGTCTACCACTGCACAGAGCAAAATTTATTTACTTTATATCCCCTTTTGGCTGGAGTTTGAATGCTTAAGTGTTTTTTCTGTTGGAGGAAGAGCCCCTTAGGCTGGAGGAAGGCTACTTGGAGGATTTATTTATTATTTATTTTCTGCAGTTTTCCATATTTTTACAGATAGGGGTTGCCATTATTTCTTATACAAGCTATTTTACAAAACTGCTGACCCTTTTAAAAGCTTTTTGCTTACTTAACTGTTCTTGTAGGTACATCAAAATCTGCTTCGTAAAATCTGTCAATGTTTAAGTCTGTTTTCTTTTTTTAATGTCCTTGAATCAGTAGTATAGTATGCACGCCTGTTCCTTATATTAAAGCACCTTCTGAAACATTCTGTTACAATATAGCCCTATTCCCTTTATAAAATGTCCTCCTGTACAATTCTCTGTTTTATGTAGTTTGCAGAATGCCAGAAGCATGGGAGCTTTCTTGGACCTCCTCAGAATGCTCCATGTGCTAATGGAACTTGCCACCCTTAGCTCTCTGTGGTGATGTGGATGCAGCTGTGATACCCAAGATATGTCATTTTTGGACATTAAAGTGATGTGGTGTCCATGTAGGAATTCTATTATGTGGCAAGAATCCTCAAATATTTTTTTTAAAATGGTTTAAACTCCATTGATTTGGAATTAATTAAACATAGATTTGGAAGAAAAATATTACTTCCATCAGGACACATTGACTGAATTTGATAAGTCTAGTGCGTTCTTGTGATCAGAGTAATGCACAAGAATTAGAATGTATAGAAGAAGTGTACAGTAAAAATTATAATAAATATTCTTTTTGATTTCTTGAACACTTAGCCAAGTCTGAAGAGAGCTGGGAGTCCCCCAAACAAATCAAAAAGAAGAAAAAAGCCAGAAGGGAAACGTGAATTTTCTGAAATGGACGTGTGTTGCAGAAACACTTGTCGTGAAGATTATGCTGTTTATGCAATAATTTGTGAACCTGTACAGAATTTTATATAAATTTCAACAGATTTTTTTAAAAAACAAACTGCTATGAACACAACCATCTCTAAGAACAGGAACCGAAGGAAAATAAGTTGGTGACATAATTTAACAGGAAATATGACAGTACTGGAAGATGCATTGAAGAGTGTATTTTCAACATACGGGGAAAGTAATTTTTAAAAACAACTTGGCTTTACAGCAGTGCCCTGTTTACAACAGATTATGCCCTATTTCATGTGCATTGGAGAAAAAAGGATTGATCTTAAAATGATCTCTAATCTTTAAAACTTGAGTGTCACTCTACCTGTAATACAGTGTCTACCATCCTGATTTTAATACGTAAATCAAAGAACTCTGTTGAAATACTTTGCCATATCTTTTTAAATACTTAGTAGAATGTGCTAACCATAAAGATAATGTGAAGAGAGGCTGGACTCTTGGAAGTACATACTCTTGATTAGTCCGTTTGACTTAAAGGTATTACTTCAGGGTGTGTCCAAGGGTTATGAATAGAACTATTCCTTTTTTAAAAATTGATGATAAACTTTTTTGTGGTTTAGGATGCAAAACTTGCAAAAACTTTAGATTAAGAAAGTAAAAAATTGGGTCAAAACAAAATTGCTTCTGATAGTCTTCTACATGCATTACACACGTTTTAAGATAATGGGGCAGTATGCTCAAAATCTCATTGTGTTTTCTTTTTTATGGTAGTAGGGTGTAACTTTTCTTCCATGCACTTTTTAATTTGATTTATTTCCCCTTTTTAAAAACTTCCATAAATTTATCTGAGTCTTCAAGGATATGATGGGGAAAAAAGAGGAAGAAATAATGGTTTCAGAACAGCTTTAATTGATGAGACCATCCGTATCAGGAAGTGCTTTTTTTTTGCTGCCTTAACCTGTGTAGAATCTGCATCTAGAGTTCTTAAATGGAACTAGTGGGTATTTGTTTTTTGTTTTTTTTAAATCGTGCAAGTATAGCAATTGTAGAATCATCAACTTTCCTCCTGGAGTTATGGATTAAAATCAGAATTCAGCTGCATCATTTTCAGGCACTGTGTCATGACATCGTATCAAGCAGGCAGGTATCTATGAATAGTGCATGCTCAGCCATGTACACTGTATATAGCCTTTACAAAATGTGTGTGTTTAAAGGACCATAATTAACATTAACGGTGAGCGTCAGTTAAAGAAAAGCCATGATTATTTGATGTGACTGGCTTAGGGTTTTTTTATGTGGCTGAGAAATTGTAACAGCTGTAACCAATGGTACTTTATTGACTATCCCATAATGTCTCCTTGTATACATCTGAAATTTTGGTAAATTAACTTGCAATGCAAGGTCAATTAAAGCAACAAACTGGATTTAGTTGTACTGAAGGCAAGCCTTATTAATTGATAGTGTTCCTAATAAATGAATACTAATGTGCAGAGAGGTGTTAATTCCTGTTTCAGGAACATGGCAGATGTTTACATGTTCAGATGTTTTGTTTTAATTCAGTGACATTTCTAAATCAACTTTGTTAAAATAAATTGAGCAAATTGATAGCATTGTTTTATTTATGGGAAGGGAGTAGTATTTAGACAATGTTTATCAGGAGAGGAGTGGTCCATGAAACTACTTAGTACTGAAATACAGTTTTCAGCAGTGATTTAAGAGGGTGTTTAATCATATCTGTTCCTTCCTGTAAATTTGCCATTCTTCATATACATCTTAGTGTGATAACCGCCAACCATTTCCAGTGTAAATTTTTGAATGTGCAAAAATACTGTGTCACCTTTCCACATTTGATCAGAGAGAACCTTCTGAAAAAGGTAGCCTTGCCCAGAACAGCCATGAAATTGAAGACAGAAAACATCTTCGCCTCTGTTAACATAGCTTATTTCAAATGGTCACAATTCCTTACGGTACACTTGTTAATTCACAGGAGTGCTTCAGCACATCACTTTCATGAGGAAAATTGTAATATGGAGGGGATTTATATCCAGAGTCAAACATAATAAGATGTTTCTGGTGTTAAACAGGGTTTTTTACACTGAAACAACCTGTGGAAGCATGTCGTAAATCACACTATGGGTCTGTAGTTCTGTGGTCCTGCTGCTAAATAATACAATGAAGGTACTTTCAAAAGTAAAATTTGTCCTTTGGGTAAGCCCTATCTGTTCTGGTTTCATGGTGTGTTTATTATGCCTGCTCCTTGTTTGTCAGTGGATGCTCAGTAGGACTTGAGCTCATCACTGTAGAAATTGTGGCTCAAATGTCTTGGAGGAATGGCCATTAGTGTTCCATTGAGAAGCAAGTGCTTTTAAAATCACCTGAAAATATTTCTGTATTTAGAAAAGGGGTAGTAGCAAATGTGGAAACACATAAAGTAACTCTCAGTGTGTTACCTTGCTCAGTTTCTGTGCTGCCTGATCACATGAAGAGTTATGGGTGTGCTGACAGTGGGCTTGGGAGGATCTGCTGAATCCAGTGCCCAACTAGGATTTATAATTTAAAGACCCTTAATCTGTCTATATTAATTACAGTCCCAAGACTGTTGGGGTGATCCTAGGTAGGGTCATCCAAATTGCAACCTTTACCTGTGTAGAAGGGTGGTGTTTTGATGGGCCTTCCCAGACTCCATAATTTGAAGATTCCTACACTTTTTTCCCTCAAGCTTCAGTATTACTACCGCTAAAGGTTAAATTACAACTTTCTCACCGTAGGGGAAATGGCACTGAATTCTTACTGGTTTCCGCAGTTTGTCATAAGGCTGTGGAGCAGTGTATGAAGTTTTTAGAAAAACCTCTGAGTCTAAGCTCCCAAGCTGGGAACAAATGAGAAAGCTGACGGCAAGAACACTGTTTCTCAGTGAAATAGTTTAAATTGCACAGTTGACAATAACAAAAGTGTATCACCAAAAAAATGTATTAAAGGATGTAGGCTGGGAGTGAACATCCACACTTGAATATGGTGGTCAAAAGTACCTTCCTAACCAAGTGTACCCTGCTGTCTGTTTATGGAGCAAACCAGCTAACCATTCTCATCAGTGAAGAGTAATGTGGGTTTTGTAACTTTTGAAACTGTTTGTATGCACAACTTTACAAAAATTGTGATATGTAATTGGGTAGTCATTGCATGCTTTAATCTTCTTGATTTTTTTGTTTTTTCCCTCAGAAAGTGTATAGAACTCATAACATGTTTGTTACAGAGTTGGCTCAAGGTGGATGAAAACTGTATTTCTGACTTTTCTAAATTTAAAAGAATTACAGTAGATAGACATTATTTAACTATTAACTAAAGAATGTGTACATTAAAATCAATTTTCAAAACTGTTTACACAAATACCTTCTTAGTGCTCTTTGCTGTTTTATTATCTACCCATCGTTTTGGTAGTGTTCAGCTTTTCCCAACTATGACTCACTCTTAATTTCTCATTCTTTTTTTGAAAAAAAGTTTAGTGGTTTTGTTGATACAATCTTCCTGCCATTAGATTCTCTCAACCAACTTTTGGCCATAGCCCAGCAGCTGAATATCAAGAGCATAGGGTAACAGGAAGGGCTCAGAAATTTTCCCTTTATAAAGGAAGTTTTGTATCTTGGCCAAAAACACGCAATCATACATATAAACACAATTGTAAGGACTGGGAGACATTTAAATGCTTAAGTGTCAATTTCAAATTTTTGAGAGATGGTATCAGCTTCAGAAAGGTTTTTTTTTTAAGTAGCCTGTAATTTGTCTAGGATTTTAATAAGGTTCTCTTGTATGTATTAGAATACTCAAAGCTGAGGAGCAATGTGGATTGTAGTCCCAGAGGATGATGGTGGGAGGGGGAAGCAGCACCTTAAACGTAATTGCTGACACTTGGCTTTAATTAAAAGCATGCTATTATCTAAAATTGTTATGGCTCAGCAAGCTGCTCAGAGAACACGTCTAAAAATGATGCTTCTAAATGAAGGCTGCAGCCATTTACTTTTGCTGTTCTCAGGTGCACTCAACTGGTGAAGGAATTGCAACTGCAGGCAACTGCCATCAGTAAGGTGAGGTTAGGTAAAGGTAAGGTTTCCCTTGCTCGAAAGCCAGTTGAATGACTAGGGATGTGGTGCTCATCTCCGTTTCCAAGCCGAAGAGCCAGCGCTGTCCAAAGATGTTTCCGTGGTCATGTGGCTGGCATGACTAGACGCCAAGGCACACTGAATGCTGTTACTTTCCCACCAAAGCGGTACCTATTTTATCTACTTGCAATTTCTTGCTTTTGAACTGCTAGGTTGGCAGGAGCTGGGACCAGAGATGGGAGCTCATTCTGTTATGCGGCACTTGGGTATCGAACTGCTGAACTACCGACCTTCTGGTCTGCAGTTCAGCGTCTTAACCACTTGAGCCACCACAGCCCCAAGGTGAGGTTACAGGACTTTAAATATAGAACAAAAAAGGCTCCTGTTCACTGTTTGTTGTTGTTCAGTCGCACAGACGAGTCCAACTCTTCGCAACCCCATGGACCAGATCCCGCCAGGCCCTCCTGTCTTCCGCTGTCCTCTGAAGTTGGCTCAATTTCATGTTCGTTGCGTCGACTACACTGTCCAACCATCTCATCCTTTGCCGTCCCCATCGTCTTTGACCTTCAATCTTTCCCAGCATTAGGGTCTTCTCTAGTGAGTGCTCCCTTCTCATTTGGTGGCCAAAGTATTTAAGCTTCAGTTTCATTATCTGGCCTTCCAGGGAACAGTCAGGGTTGATTTCTTTTGGGATTGACTGATTTGATCTTCTTGCAGTCCAAGGGACTCTCAAGAGTCTTCTCCAGCACCATAGTTCAAAAGAATCTATTCTTCGGCGCTCGGCACTGTTACAGGGAAGATAAAGTACTGAAGTGAATGTCTGGGAAATGCTTTTGAACACTTGAACTGTCCCATTCACTGTACATACAAACATTCTTCCTTTCTAAAAGAAGGATTTTTATAACAAAGTGCAGATTTCAGCATGGACATTGTTCACAAGAAAGGGCATGCAAAAGTAGGAAATCCATCAGTAGGAACAAGTTGTAAGTAGCTAAGTAGGGTCAAAAACCCTAAGCCCAGGCTCTGTTCCATGCTAAACAAAATACAGTTCTGTACCCAGGCAATTCAAGAAGAGCTCAAATATGTCTAATTGGTTTTGGCACTTGTAAGCTTCTTTGGGCCCCTGCAGGGAGAAAAGCAGCACTGAAATATTCCAATAAACAGAATACTGCCTTGATCTTGTCTGTACAACAGAGAGGCTCCTTTTCTGGGTGCTGTGTAAACTTCATCTCCAGAGACTCCATTCTTGTCTTGGAGTGCTTCCTGCATTCCAGTATCTGGGCTCTTAGTTTCCACTAAAGCCTTTTGCCACCTTTAGACAGGTTCCTTGGTTGCCGTCTTGCACACCATTGATGGCAGTGAAATCAATGTAGTTTGTTTCTTCAGGACTGCAGACCCTTGGCCACCATCCATTATATAGATTTATCATTTGATGAGCTGCCTTCCCTTTTCTAGCTTGATGCCTCTAGGAGCATGTTTGCCAATTTCCGCTTTGTGCATAACTGAGCTTCGCTTTGGCAACTTAGGCCATTGAATCCTATTCATGTTTTAATTAGAAACAATTTGCATTAGCCATGGTGATTTCTGGATATACATGAATAGGATTTTAGACAAGCTATTAAACATGTAGATATTGATGCTGCTGTGACACATCTTTTATTCTAGCTTCAAAAGTAGAAGCCAGCATGGCGTATAGTGCCTAGAGTCTCAGACTAGCATGTGGGCAATTCAGTTTGAAATAATCGTATCGATCTATCTCTGCTCATATAGTGATAGCCTTGAGCAGAAAATAAAGTTATAAGATAATGCCTTACTTAGTGTTATTTTTTTGTTGTTTAATTATTGCCCCCATAAATTTTACCACAGAGAGGGTGCGTTCAGACGGGGCGTTTCTGCCGGCATAAACTGCACTGGTTGGAACCGGTGCAGTTTATGCCGGCAGAAACGCGATCACACTTACCCTCCATTTTGCGGATCCCTCCGGTGGACGCCCGCTCACACGCTGCGGGCGTCGGTTTTTTTTTTTTTTTAAAGGACAGTTTGAGCATGCGCATAGGCAGCCATTCAGAGAATGGCGATCTTTGCGCATGCTCAACCCCCCCATTACATTTAAACTTTAAAGGTAAGGACTTACCTTTAAAGTTTAAAGCCCAACCTGGCCTCCCTGTAGTCCCGGACTGCTCCGGGAAGTTAAAGTAAGGGCTTTTTTCCCCCCCTTAACGCTCGGGGCGAAGCTTTCCCCGAGCGCATATCGCTTATTTTTTTTAAAAAATGGCGGGGGGAAGCCGGAAGCCTCAGGCTTCCGACGGAAGTGGCTGTACAACATTTGGAGACCGATCAGACGCCGGGGTGCACCGTTTTCAACCGTTGCACTCAGTTTACCACTACTTGGGACCTAGTGGCAGAGTGCAACGGTTTAAAGGGATTTACAACGGTTAGGGACGGGAGGCAGATGTTCGCCGTGTGAACGCCCGTAAGTACATCGGTTGGAACCGGCACCCTAACCGTTGTAAATCCCCCGTCTGAACGCACCCAGAGAGTAACAAAACCATTTATATCCTATAGTAACCACATCACCTCTACCTTCATACTGTCAGATGCCTCAGTGGGCATTTCCTTATTTCTAAGTAAAGGAGTAATTAAACTAGCCCTCAGCTCATTAGATATATAATTGTATGTTCAATTGTTTCAATTTTATCATTTGAGCATCTACGTGTTCTATTTGAATACAGCACTTTTTTATATCTGCCCTCCAAAACCACCAATGGAAGGGCATTAATTGAGATCCCCACTCTGCCATGGAAACTCACTGGATACCTCAGCCTAATCTACCTCACAGGGTGGTTGTTGTAAAGATGAAATGAAGGATAGAATGATGTACCAAGTTCCCTTGAGCACCCACTGGGTAGAAAAATGAGATATAAATAAAAAAGGTACAGGACTTCAATACGTGTAAGCAGTATTCGGATTTCAAGTAAAAGTATTCTTCCGAGGATGGCATGATCGCTCGTTATAAGGTATAAATTTCTTGATCCAACAATACATTTCTAGCCTCTCTCCTAAGAGATAAAGCACTTTGAATTAATGCTCATGTTACTTCTGCAATGTTTAAAATGGACTTTGAGATGATGCCAAATAAAGTGCTATCTCAGTAGAATTAAAAGAGGATTTATAGCACAGTGTGCAGTGGATGTTACAATGAGATGAAAAATTAGTCATTTTCAACCATTCATCTTCCAGCATGAAATAGCCCTTGAATGGAGCCTAGGAAGTGAATCAGATCATGGTGGAGGGAAGCCAAAAGCTTTCTCTATTTCTATAATCAGAGAAAGAGCATTAGCTGGATCAATCAATCTCTTTTAAGGGAGGGGGGAAAGGGGAAATTTATAAAGGTCTAAAATAATTAAAGACTTCAAGCTTTGGAACAGGAAGCCCCACTGCCTTGTTTTGACCTTGTCTTGTCTGAGCTTGGATGTAGCAGAGGTTAGGTTAAAATCTTAGCACAGGAGCTGCAATTAAGAAAAAGGCAGACTAAGAAATATCTTGTATTATGGATAGCCAGTGGTCACTAGCGACAAGGTCTTCTTTGTTGTAGCATCTAAATTATGAACACCCCTTTCGTACATTTGCCTGACACCCATCCTGCCGTCCTTTATGTCTCAGGGTGTGAGGTCATGGCTTAGTAGTAGAGCATAAAAGGAGTAGTGAAGGATGATAGGGAAATGGCTGAGAAGCTGAATGCATTTTTTGCCTCTGTCTTCACTGTGGAGGATGAGAAGTGTTTGCCCACTCCAGAACCACTGATTTCGGGAGGGGTGTTGAAAGACCTGAGTCAAATTGAGGTGATGAGAGAGGAGGTCCTACGACTGATAGACAACTTAAAAACTGATAAATCACCAGGCCCAGATGGCATACATCCGAGAGTTCTGAAAGAGCTCAAATGTGAACTTGTGGATCTCCTGACAAAAATTTGTAATCTTTCATTAAAATCTGCCTCCATTCCTAAGGACTGGAAGGTACCTAATGTCACTCCCATCTTTAAAAAGGGTTCCAGAGGAGATCCGGGAAATTACAAGCCAGTCAGTCTGATGCATCAGTGATAATCAAAATAACAAAGTGTGATAAAGATTAGCAAAGTCGTTTGTGGAGAAGCTTTGGAGAGACCAATTTGTCAGAGACAAGGTAACAAGAACAAAGAGTCCAACCAGAGTGGGGGTGGACGTGCTGATTTCCCCCAGTTTCCTTCAGAACCCCTCTACTAAAAAAGTGGCTATTGCAGCATTTTGTTCTATTTTGTTGAGTCCAGATTATGAACTGATGGAACTGAGCTTTACTGCTCTGTGTATAGCTGTTGGCTGGGAAAGTTTTACTAATTGTGATGTCAATTTCCTCACTTTGTCAACCAGAGGTCTCCAATCTCGCTTGGGTCACAGAGGTCCCTGCACCGGTCACTCAATCTTCTCTTTAAAATGCCAATGGGAACTTGGTCGAACACACCACAAGCGCACACACTGCGGAAGGGTGTCGGTCAGTCAGTCCCTCCATCAAGAGGTTTGCTTCCTGCTGCTGAGGTTCGCTGGTATCAACACAACTGATAGGAGAAGCAGGTGGAAGGTGCCGATTGATGAATGGCACACGGGGCTAGTTCAGAAAAAAAATGTGAGCCCATTTTCTTGGCCAAAATGTCAGAGAAAGGAAAAAAACAATCGTGCCAAAATGTCCCCCCCCCCCCAATCTGCAACTGGGTCCATCTACCATGAAGGGATGGGGGCAAAGTTGGGGCCACAGGCTCAACCCCTCTGCGTCCAATCTGGGGATAGTCAATCACTCTTACTGTTCTTCCTGTCTGAGTAGGCTCCCAGGAGGCTTGGAGAAGAACAGCCCAGCATTCTTGACTCCAAAGGCAGTCAAGGCATCGCTGGCCTCTGTGCTCAGACTCCCAACACCTGAGCCCACCAGCCTGTTCTGAGCCCCGGCTCCATTGGTGGTGCTGTGATTCAGCTTCCTCTTTGTTGCCACCAGCCTGCCTATGCCCTTCTCCCAGCATTCCACCTTCAGCTTTTTTCTCCGGGGCTCTGAATCCTCCTGCAAGATGCCTGTAGGTTTTGCAGGGGCCTGAGTCGGGACTTCATTGTAATCAGAGTCCTCCAGCAGCTGCCTGACCTGGCTCGCTCCATCCAGCATAGCCCTCATCTCCCTCTTGTCCTCCTCCACTGCCAGCCACTTCTGCTCTTCCTCCTAATCCTTGTACTGCTGCAGCATGGATTCAGAGTCCACACGGGCCTGGTGCTGATTCAGCTCCTTCAGAACCTCCATCTCCAGCTTTGGAGTCTTTGGTTCTCTTCTCATGGGGTTATTGAGCTCTTCATCTTCATGGGGTTCTTCATGGGGTTGTTGAGCTCTTCATCTTCTCCTTCCTTCTGCAACTGCTTCTCCTCCTCCTCTAGCAGCTTCTCCACTTGGACGTTCCACCTGGCCCCGTGTTCCATGGCATAGTCAGTGTTCTCAGGGTTTGTCCTGAAGGCGATTTCTGTAAGGTGGTGGGTGCATTTGATGTAAAAATGGAAGATGGGAAGCCCCAGGTAGGATTCATTTTGGACTGTCCCCTTCTGGGCATTGAACTTCTTGCCCTTATAGATGTACTCTCTGCACATCTTGCACTGCATGTTAAAGGGAGCCATCAGCCGCACCGCTTATTGCCAGTCCTTTGGAGGAGGAGGAGGAAGACGATGACAATGATGATGAGGAGGAGATTGGATTTATACCCTGCCCTTCACTCAGAGTCTCAGATTCCCTGTGAGGTAGGTGGGGCTGAGAGAGCTCCTTGAGAGAACAGCTCTGACAGAACTACGTCTTGCCCAAGGTCATCCAGCAGCTGCAAGTGGAGGAGTGGGGAAGCAAAGCAGGTTCTCCCAGATTAGTCCACGCACTTACCCATTACATCAAATTAGTAGTATTTATTTAACCTAACTAGTAGTATTTATTTAACATTTTCCTTTCTATTAAATACTGGGTTCAAGATGCATTACAGTGAACAGCTCTACTTTATTAAGTGATTTCAGGAACACTACAAGACAAACTCCAGGGCTGCCATCCTGTTTAAACAGCATGTAAGCACCTCGCCAAAACAACCCACTCCCAACAATAGGCTATTTACATAACACTACTTCCTCACTGGTCCCCTTCAGAATCCTGGCAAGCTATTGTTCCGGAGCAACAAGCTCAGCCAGTTTCGGATCCTGACTCAGGGAAGATCCATGCTCAGTACACAACATTTTCTGACATCTTGTCCCTTCACGGCAGTTCGGACTCCGCACTCTCAGCACTTCCGGGATCCCCCGCCCCAACCACTTTTTAAAAACACTTGGCGGGAAGCAGGACAGGGGTGTGTGTGTGGTGGAGTAGCCTGGCACCCACAGGCACCATGGTTTACAGCAGCAGAGCAGTGAGGGAGGGAGGGAGGGAGATGTTTGTCGGTTTTTTTGTTTTGTGTTCTCTCAACTGACTACAGATTCAGAGCTGGACAAAATCCCCAATGTCTGGTTTACTTTAGGTGAAAGGACCTCCCGGATTACAGCCTAGAACTAAACGGCTGCGATCGATTCAAAGCCTACTTCCTTGCAAAGTCCCCACTCCGCACTCTCAGCACTTCCGGGATCCCCCGCCCCAACCACTTTTTAAAAACACTTGGCGGGAAGCAGGACAGGGGTGTGTGTGTGGTGGAGTAGCCTGGCCCCCACAGGCACCATGGTTTACAGCAGCAGAGCAGGGAGGGAGGGAGGGAGATGTTTGTCGATTTTTTTCTTTTGTGTTCTCTGCCAATGTCTGGTTTACTTTAGGGGAAAGGACCTCCCGGATTACAGCCTAGAACTAAACGGCTGCGATCGATTCAAAGCCTACTTCCTTGCAAAGTCCCCTTGAGCCCAGGGAAACTTCCTTCGGAGTAAAGGCTGCTTCGACTCTAGCCTCCTCTGATACAGAACTCGCCCGGCGCCCCTGCTCGCCCCGCCCGGGCCGCGTCCCCACCAATGCTCCCTCTAAACCGTGGAGTCTTGAGAGCAAAAATTCTACCTTGTGAGCTACTGGCATTAGGGGGGGCGTTTTTCCCCCCCCGGGGGTTGGGGGGGGGGGGGGATCCGAACTGCAGGAAGCGCGCTAGCAGCAGGCAGACGCCGCCCGGCGTGTGAAGCGCGATGAAGACGATGAGCTCCCCTTGGGCTCGCTTCTACTCCAACAGCTGCTGCCTGTGCTGCCATGTCCGCACCGGGACAATCATCCTCGGGGTCTGGTACCTGGTAAGGAAAGGAGGGCTTTGCCCACGCGCGGGGGCTGCAGGAGAAACCCCAACGCGTTGACTTGAGCAGGCGGGCCATGCGGCTGGGCCTGGGGTAGGGGGCAAGGGAAGGGCTCCGCGTGGGAATCCTCCTGGGTAGACCCGGCGAAGGGCCTTTCCCGACGTTCGAACAAGTCTTCGCGTCGTGCCTCTGTTACACGAACGCCTCCAGCGCCCTTAAGCCAAGGATCCTGCCCCCCCCCCCTCCCCATGGGAGTGGGAGGGAGAAGAGTACCTTTGCTGCATGGTGGGGCGACCAGATGCGGTGCAGTTTTGTGCATGTAACTCTCGTGTGGAGGAGGAAAGGGGGTCTTGTGAAGGTTCCTAGCCTAGACCTTTCCGGGTGAAAAAGCTGCACCTGTCGAGTCCCGGCAAAGATACAGGTGTCCTGTGCTTTGTTGCATGTTGCCGGTTCTGTGTCCTGTGCTTTGTTGCATGTGCGCCTTTCCTGCCATAGTTCTGGGGGCTGGTGAGGTTTGTCGCTGTAATTTCAAGACCTTGGCCGGCACTCCCGTTCATGAGCAGTGCAGCAGTGGACAAAGAAAGTTAAAATATCATTTTTTAAAGAATTGCAAAATTGGGAGGGGTGGTTGTTTTGTCAAAGACATTACAAAAACTGGCCAATAAGGGGCTGCAAAATTTTATGGAGTGCTCAGAATACCGGTTAATGTTCTAAGTAGGAAGGAATGCTGAAGGTTTTCCATTATAATATATAAGGATTAGGAAAAATATGAAATCCTTATAACAGGCATGGTAACAAATATGCAGTTCTTATGTGGAAAAACCGTTTAGTGGAAATTCTGATGTTTAATGCTGTCCATTGGCATTTCAGGAGTTGTTTCTGATTTTATAATACAAAAACATGGCTACTTGGGCTTTCACCTGTAATACTGAAATCTTCCTTTTGTCATAAATGCAGTGGGTAATATGAGGAAAATCACTTTGCTTCAGTTGTTTCCTCTATGAAATGATAAATGCTAGCAGCCTGCCTCTCTGGGCTGTTACAAGAAATGTGGCAAAGACTGCAAACACTTCGTAATGGATTGGTGTTGGTGATAAACTGGGTCCTGACCTGGATACCCAAGGCTAGCCTGATCTTATTTTATTTATTTTATTCGACTTATACTCCGCCCTCCCTGCAAAGCAGGCTCAGGGCGGCTACAGGGTCTTGTTAGATCTTGGAAGTTAAGCAGGGTTGGTCCTGGTCAATATTTGGAAATGACCACCAAGGAATTCCAGGGTCACTACACATAGAAAGGCAATGACAACCTACCTCTGAATATCTCTTGCCTTGAAAACTCTACAGAGTTGCCACAAGCCACTTGTGACTTGACAGCAAAAAAAAAAAAAAAAACCCACACCAGACCATAATTGTTTGTGTTTTCAGACATTTCTGAAGTGACAGGAATAAACTCTCTCTTAAACAGATGAGCACCTGGGGGTAAACCTGAAAACCTGTTGAGCTGTGTGTGGATGCAAAGAGACGCTCATGAAGGCTGGTGGTCAGAAATGGCCTGCAGCTGCATCGGCACACTGTCAGACAGCAGCAGTCAGTCCCTCCTGGATTGTCTTGACTGCACAGGAGAGTCCTGTTACGAGTTACTGCTATAGCCCAATATCTAGTGTTGTGTGGATGCAGCCTGCATCTTCAGATTCTTCGCCAGTTTCCAGTATGTGTTAGTAGCATTTACGAGCAGGAAAGATCAAGGATTATAATTGTCCTTGGATTTGCAGCCTAGACTTAAATCTAAGCAGTTGGGTTTTAAGATGGATGCCCCATTTAAGTCAATGAAACAAAACTGGTTTGAAAACTAGTGTTTCAGCTTTAGCAGTTTCTGGGTGGGCTACTGACTGCAGCATGCCCAGCACCCAAGACTAATACAGACTGGTGATAGAGTTTGAGAGACATCTCTCACCCTGCCTATGTTCCTCTTCCAAAATACTAGAACTTGAAGGCATCCAATAAAGCGGATGGACAGTAGATTCAAGATGGACAAAAGGAATTACTTCTTTACACAGCAAGTTATTAAAATGTGAAGTTTGCTGTCAGGGGATGTAGTGATGGCCAGGGTTCCCTCTAATGTTTTTCGCCTACTGAGCGGAGCAGTTCACATCCTGAGCAGAATATAACTGCTGTAATCTTAAAATGGGCCTGCATGGCTGCAGCTTGCTGCTGAGCGGGGCTTCCCATGTTAATGAGCAGCTGCTCATGTGCACAGCTTAAACAGTGGTGATGGCCACAGGCATAGACAGCTTTAAAAGGGGATTAGGCAGATTCATGGAGGATAGATCCATCAGTAAGTAAAGAGAACTTCCACATGCAGAGGTAGAAAACTTCTGAATACCATTGCTAGGAGGCAGCATTAGGGGAGACCTTGGCCTCTGGGCCCTGCTGTGTCCAACCAGAGGAACTGGTGGGCCATAGTGTAAGACAGACTGCTGAACTATAGATGGACCACTAGTCTAAGCCAGCTGGGCTTTTCTCATGTTCTTAAGATGCAACATGAAACATGATAAGTAGAACTCATTCACTTCCTTTTGCTTGTGTCTTGAACACAAAATTATGATCTTCTCTTCCGTATAAGTCCTTTTGGCATCAGAACTTGCTTTAAACTCTCTACCCTGCCTCTCTTCCCCAGGGTTTTTTTTTGGCATGTTTCATAATCCTCTCTTGTATTTACTGCCGTATAATAATTTAGTTTAGCTTCCCCGTCTCTTCCACCCATACCTACTTCCATTATCTCAATCCAATGCCTTTTCTGTTGGCTTGGGATTCTTTCTAGCTGTAGGTATGACATCTTTTCATTATGCCTCCATGGGATGCTGACTTCAGCAGATAATGCTGCTTTTCAGAAGGGTGGTTATTTTTGTCGAAATAAACCTCTAAAGTGATGTATTATTAGCAACGTAATTCTTTATAAGATGCAGTAATTCTCTTGGGCTGCCACTATTTGTATACCAAGAAAGAGAAGGAAAAAATGATGGTGCAGTGGGGAAAGAAATTGTTTCGCTCAAGGATCCATGAAACAAGAAAAGGAAATCGGTGCTGCCCCTTTTTTCCCCGCATTCTGACTTTTTGTAAGCCCACAGGCCATTTCCCTAACAGATGGACCATAAAAAACCTGAAGTGCGGCCTAAACAGAGCCTATGAAGTGTGAAATTTCCTCAGAATAAGACTTCAGTAAAAATGACTGTTTTTAACATTCACATGTTTGTCTTTCATTATGAGTGCTCTTGCTTTAGCCGTAGACTGTTGAGGTGCTTGCGCAGTATGTTGCCTAGTCATTAAAATAAGATCAATTGAGCCATTGTTACACAAACTTTTTGAACTTGGAGGACCACCCCCTTCTGAACTTTTTTCCCTCATGGCCTCTCTAGGTGCCCCTAACCCAACACTAGAAATTTGCTTTGTGTGTGAAGCTATGAAACTTCTTGTCAGCAGTTGAATTCCTTTTATTTTTATTTCAGATGTTTATACCCTGCCTTTCTCCCCAGTTGGCCCCCAAAGTAGCTTACATCATTCTCTTCTCCATTTTTTCTTCACAGCAGTAAACAAATGAAGTAGATAAGGCTGAAGAGAGTGTGACTGGCCCAAGGTCACCAAGCGAACTTCTGTGACAGAGTGGGGATTTGAATCTGGACCTTTCAAATCCTTATTTAACCACTATAGGCTCTCTTCTCATGCTACACCATGTGACAGTCTATGGATTGATGTACTAATATAACGCTGCCGGGGGGGGGGACCAGATTACCTTTGCGATTCCCCCCAACCCCAAAAAACAAACTGCACAGAAGGATGTATCATTATAACAAGGCAGAAGCTATTCCTGAGCTAATAGATCAGCTGAAGGGGATAGTTAGGGTTACGTCACTCCCACAAATTCAGTGGAGGTCACTGACTGGGGTTCATTTAACCTCTGCAGGTTTTTCAGAATCCAGAGCCTCCCAGGAACATGTTGTAACTTAAGGCATCTCCCATTCCTTCTCCTCCCTCGAACTGGAGCCCTCCCTGTAGTTTGAGGGCTGTTATAATGATCAAGAAACCAATTCAATCAGGAGTGATGTAATAGTGCAACAAAGATTCTGAGCACGATTTAATGCGTTTCCAGAAATAAAACTTGACTTTAGGAGCTGCCATTAAGGAATGAAATGCACACAAAATAAAAGCAAGATAATATATCATGAAGATGTTAAATAATTTCACATGATTCCTTCTGAGGTTTAATATGAATTAAATACATACCAGAAAGTAATGTGCGTTGAATTTCCTATAGTTTTGGAGTTGTTTATCACAATAAATCATGCCCCCCCACAAGTCTCAATATGCACAATTTAGACAAGATTAAGCACCTGTATTAAATTCTGCTAAGGCCCATTCATTTCAAAGGGAAAGTTAATTACCTGCAAGCTTTAGGGCTCCAATCTCAATGTATTCTTACTTGGAAGTAAGGCCCATTTAATTCTAATTCTGTTTCAGAGTAACCACACATGGAGTCAAACTGAACATGTTTTAATATTCCCATTTTCTGATTTTGTAATTTCAGCAGTCTGTTGCAATTACCCCTTCATCTTATAAAGTCCCTGCAGGTGTTTACCAAGAAATTGTCCTTTTCCCCCCTTTTCCTCCCCAAACAAAAGCCTAAGAAGTTGAGATCAATATACCTCAGATATATTGGAGATGCATCAGTATGCTGACTGTATATAGGAAGTCACTGGGAAAAAACTGGAATAGGTCCAGGTCCTGTATGATTTGTTAACATCTTGCTGGCACCTGATAGAAAATTGGCTTCTGGGAACTGGATGATAGTTGTTTTCTGGAATTCACAACGAAGGCAAATTCTGATTATGTGGATAAGCTGATACGAATTGTCTTTCTATCTGGAATAGGTCGTACACCCCAGAGAGCCAAGGTTGCCTCTGGATGAATGCAGATTAGAAAAGGATTTATTCTTTAGGAAATAG